CAAAGTCAGATTGGATCAAAGATCAAAGATGGATCAACAGACCGATCAGACTGATTCATCAGCCAGCAGAGGAGTCGGATCAACAGAGCTGGTCCTGGTCCTGGTGTCCTCTGGTTGGACCTGGACTGTCCCTGCTGAGGAGACAGAAGACAGTCAGAGAGACAGGAGACAGTCAGAGAGACAGAAGACAGTCAGAGAGACAGAAGACAGTCAGAGAATCAAACCTGTAACTTTCAGATTAACTGTTTTCACTCTCAGCCGTTCTCTCTTTTCTCCCTCCATCCAGACTCTACATCTGTACTCTCCGTTGTCTCTCCATGTTGGTCGTCTCAGAGTCAGGCTGAGGTCTCCAGTTCTCAGTGGGTCTTCATTCATCCTGGTTCTGTCTTTATAGAGCTGCTCCTGTTCTTTAGGCTGATCAGAACCGTTCTGATACACATGGACTATCCACCAGCTGCTGTCCTTCCACTCCACTCTAGCTTCTCCTGGCAGATCAGGTGTTGTCTTGAATGGCAGCAGGACAGACTGCGCCCCCTCCTCCACCTTCACCACACAGCCTGAGAGAAGAACAGAGAGGAAGACGAGCTGTAGAGACATCATCATCATCAGCTCTTCATCATCATCATCATCATCATCATCAGCTCATCATCATCACCATCATCATCAGCTCATCATCATCATCATCATCATCATCATCATCATCATCATCATCACCATCATCATCATCATCATCATCATCACCATCATCATCATCATCATCATCACCATCATCATCATCATCATCATCATCATCATCACCATCATCATCATCATCATCATCATTATCATCATCTCTTCATCATCTTCTAGAAGGATTGTGCAGGAAGCTGAAGGTAAGAAGCAGATGAGAGCAGAAGGTAACAGAAAGGTTCTGCAGATGATCAGAGTCTGGATGCTGCTGACCAGCAGTGTGCAGCTGCTGCTGAACACTAATGTCTGCTGGCAGTGAGGCTGCTGACCAGCAGTGTGCAGCTGCTGCTGAACACTAATGTCTGCTGGCAGTGAGGCTGCTGACCAGCAGTGTGNTATATATATATATATATATATATATATATATATATTGCTGCATGTGCACTATATTCCACATTCTAGGTGTAAAGGCCGGAAGTGTGTTTTTCTTTTAAGAAAAGAGAAAAAGGTAGGAAAGGAAAGTCAAGAGAAAAAAGAAAAAAAAAAAAAGAAGAAAGTAAGAGCAAATGAAAATACACATTTATATATTATGCCCAGTTACTAGTTTAATATCTCTGATCAATCTTTGCGACAGTTTTCAGCAGTCGTATGTATGGCAACAGCCGCTTTACGGGAAACACTTCACTTCCATGCAATGCATGACAGCGAGTCTCAGCAGTTCACATGAGCTGTCATTTTAATATCAAAATCAAAAGAGGCATTACCTACGGCCCCTCTCTGCTGGGATGTCATGGAAGAATGCCTCAGCGTCTTTTGGGCAATGCAAGAGCTTTATTTTCCCCTCCACTGTGACTCTCAATGTGCTGGGATACTGCAGAGAGTATTTCATGTCAGTCCCACAAAGTTTTTTCTTTACTTCGTCAAACTCACAACGCTTTTTGATGAGCCCAGGACTAAAATCTGGGTAAATGTGGAACTCATTGGCGCCGATCTGCAGATTTCCCTTTTCCCTGGGCAGCCGCAGGATCTTCACCTTATCCTGGAAGTTCAGAAACTTCACCAGGATGGGCCTGGGTGGGCCGTTGGATTTGGAGGCTCAGGCGAAGGTCGGTGTGCGGTGCGCCCTCTCCACCGGTGGGACCACGGGGAAATTCTCCTTTCCAAGGACACTCTGGATCGTCTGCCCAATGAAAGCGATCATATCTGCTCCTTCCATCTTCTCCGGTACGCCGATGAAGCGCATGTTGGATCTCCTGCTCTGGTTCTCCAAGTCCTCCACCTTTTCTTTAAGGTAAGCATTGTCTTTTTCCAGTGCACACACGCGTGCTAGCAGGTTGTCAGCTTGATCCTCATTCACACTCCCTCTCTGCTGGAGCTCAGTGACTTGCCCCGTGATTGTGGTCAGGATTTGCTGAATATCCATCAGGCCTGCTTGGACAATACCAATCTTCATGTCCAAATGGGCATTTACATGCGTGGTGACTTGTCCCTTGACTTGTCGGATTGCGTCCCAAATGGATTGGAGAGAGACCTCAGCCATGGCGCACGACAATCAGAGTAAAAAAAAGCACTGAAAAAACCGCTCAGATTGCGGGCAAAAGCAGAAAGTGAACTGCTTATATATCACTTAATATAAGTCAGAAAGTTTTTAGACCTTAGCAAGGGTGAAGCAGCAAAATAAGATGAATTAGTCAGAGCTTTGCAGCAGATGCTCACGCTGCTGTGGCCATCTTGGCCTGTCCAACTCTTGCGCTTTCTGAACCACTTCCTGAAACGGTCACATGTTATCAGGGTAGTGAGCCTTCATCAATTTAGGCCCCTCCCCTAAATGAATCACGCCTCATGAGTGACACGCCCCCTCCATTACCCGACACGCGCCTGGAAGCCTGGGATCATCTCATCACTAACTGTTACTAACTTCAGACGGAACTTTTCACAGACTGGATTACATTAAACTGAACTTCCAATATTCACCACTGTTTGGCGCCATTTCCTCTGAGCAGGAAGCAGCTGCTTGCTTGGACTCCCAATGAATCCTGGGATACCCAAGGCTACGGAGGATACAGCGGATTAAAAGAAGGAAGCATTAATGGCCTAACGAGGAGTCTGCCAATCTGAATATAGCGCCGCGCTCTAACAGAATCATCCTGCGAATCTTTGGAGGATGCAGCCCCTAAATTAGAACTCAGACAATCTGTTTCTAGATCCGTTATCTGCCATCTGATCTACAGGCTGCATAAACAGTGGGTTCCTCAGTGGAGAAAATGAGGAAAAATCCTGAACCTTTAAGCTGCTGTTTTAGAGCTTAGTTAGACTGCAATATACTGCAGCATCAACACACAATATACTCCAGCATCAACAGCAATATACTGTGCCATCAACAGCAATATACTGTAGCATCAACAGCAATATACTGCAGTATCAACAGCAATATACTGCAGCATCAACAGCAATATACTGCAGCATCAACAGCAATATACTGCAGCATCAACAGCAATATACTGCAGCATCAACA